AAAACTAAAATGCGATTTTTAATGAGCGCACCCCCTAGGAATATGCCATTTACCAAAAAAATGATATTCCCAAAGTTTTGGACCAATAGGATTAAAAATGACGTTGCGCCACTCGAGCAAAGTTGGGTTTTCAGTACAAAAAACAGAAATTTTTCATTTCAATGTCATTTTGTATCTTTTATCTTATTTCAACAGTTATTAATATATACTCATTTGATAGATAATTAAAATATCTTTTTAATAAGATACTGATGAGCAAAATCGGTTAAAAATTATGCGCAAAACACAATAATTAGTTGAGCGACGTTGCTCTGTTTTCTATTCCATAACTTTTAGCTGGCATGCACAATTACTTAATAGGTATATGCTTCAATTTAGTTAACTATTTACAAAAAATTATAATTTCAAGAAAACTCTTTTTTTCAGTAATTAATATATTGTGTTTATTATGTTTTATAATATAAATCTGACTATGTGAAGGATAATTTTTATGATAATATTCGACTACTTGCAGAACATATTGTTTCTTCTCCTCATATTTTGTCAAAATCGAATTATAATCCATCATAAGCCTAATTCCTCTTTCTATACAATCATTACCACATGAAGTCTGGCACAGAATTCAAGTGCATCTCTATAATCTTGCGTTTCCAACTATTAGATAGGCAAAAACGATCCAAAAAATTTGTTATCTCTTCTGTCACGAAATCAATAAGGTTCTTTGAGGAAAATTACTTCATTAGCGGGTTCCCACTCTTTATCTAACCAGAGATGGCTCAAAGATGGAAGGTGGTACGGGAGCAGGAATCTTCTCGAAAGATATGCAGATAAGACAGTGCTACCGAATCTCTGTTACTTACAGTGTCTTTCACGGCGAGATATATGCTATCGAAAAAGTGGTCAACATTATACAACAAAGTACAATTCGTCCTTCGAATATCACGATTTTTGTAGATAGGCCGCCCTGAAAGCAATAGAATCTAAATTCCAAGATAGTATTAAAATGCCGCTATTCACTGATGAGCATCAAACATCATAAGGTCTCTCTTTGTTGGGCCTAGTACATTTCGAATACTTGGACATAGCAATATTGAAGGAAATGAACTAGCAGATGACATGATCAGAAGAGGTTCTGAATTGCATACCGGAGAGGCCGACCTCTCAATATACACACCGATACGTAAACTGTTTAGGATAATAGAGGAAATCAATACGGTGACTAACAATTTATAAACTAACTGCGAAGACTGTAAGGTCGCTAGAATTTTATGGCCCAAGTTTATAAACTAACCGCGAAGGCTTTTAGGTCGCTAACCTCTTTTGGTGTGCTTTGGAGTACTAAATGGGCACTGTCATTGCGCCTATGTTCCAATGGTGGCGAGTTCCAACAAGTGGTTTATGCAGAAGTTGCTAAGATGAAGAGGAGGTAAAATCTATCAACCACTTCCTGTGTCTCTGTCCAGGACTTCAAACAAGGCTATTTTAATGTCTTGGGGATCGTTATTTTACTGGCTTGGAAGAGATAACGACAGCTAATTTATCGGATCTCCTCAACTTCATCTGGAAAACCAAATGGTTTAACAAGGATAACAAAGGTTAGCAACTCGCATCTCCTGGTAAAATTTTTTGAGGGCAATGGGCAATATATGTTTCCGAGTAGAAGTGCTGACAACTGTCAGCACGTGCCTTCCGAACATAACCTTACCTAGTGTGGGTTAAAATTTTCATACATATGCTCATCATAAAAATGTATATATCTCGTACTAATCATCCGAGTTATATGTAAATTGATCTCTTAAAATATACATTTTTAGTAAGTACATGGTTTTCGCCATTCATCGAGAATCTTGGATGGCACCTGGGCGCCACAGGTAACCATGCCACTACTACAAAATATGTATAGCGTAGCGATCCGAAACCTTGCATTTGTCAAGGGCGGAACCTAAACTAGGTGTGATAAATTGAATCGTTGTGTCTGCGTTATCTCAATTTTGTTGAACTGTGACTAAAGATTCAGCTTCCATTTTGAGACAATTTCTTCATCGAATTTATTTCAATTAAAATCAATGGATTTTTTAGCCGCTCTTGCTTTGTTTGCTAAAAGGATATTAACTTCAGTCATACTCCCTGTATGACCATTTTTTTTTTTCTTACGAAAAAATTCTTGTTTTGACTACTTTTTCAATTCTATTTAAATGTCTATATAAATTATTAAGTAGAAATGTTTTATTTTTATTTTTTATTTATGTTTCTTCCGTTTCTTGCATTTGCATTGCATTTGCATGGCAGCTAAACGGTATGAAATAGAAGACAGAGCGCAGTCGCTCAACTAATTATTGTGTTTTGCGCATAATTTTTAACCGATTTTGCTTATCAGTATCTTATTAAAAAGATATTTTAATTATCTATCAATTGAGTATATATTAGTAACTGTTGAGACAAGTAACAAAGATAAAAAGTGACCTTGAATTGAAAAATTTCTGTTTTTTGTACTGAAAACCCAACTTTGCTCGAGTGGCGCAACGTCATTTTTAATCCTATTGATCCAAAACTTTGGGAATATCATTTTTTTGGTCAATGGCATATTCCTAAGGGGTGCGCTCATTCAAAACTTCATTTTTAATTTTCCCCCTTATAACGTGAGCCACCCTAGTGCCACATCCCCTAACAATAATAATAAGCACTTACTGCTTAACTTGCTTTGACCGATTTAGTAGCTGGCCAGCAGCAATACCAATCGAAGACATCCATGCTACAATAGTTGCTACTGCACTAATTAATGGCTAGATAACACACTTTGGAGTACCATCGCAAATCACCAAATCCAACGCCGTCATTTGATTCCCGACTTTTCAACGAGCTAGAATATACTTTAGGCATAAGACATCTGCGATCAAGTCCTCGTCATCTACAGAGCAATGGCATCATTGAATGCTTCCATCACACGTTAAAAACAGCCTAAAAGAGTAAGACAGACCAACACTGGACTGAAGTACTTCCACTTGTCATCCTTGTCTTAATGAGTACTCACAAGGAAGATTCGGACGCCACACCCGCAGAAATCGTATACAGTAGCGCCCTGAAGCTGATTTTTTTGAGGAAATCAAAGACGACCAGATGGATTCAGAAATTGTGCAATGCTATGAGTAACATTCGACCAGTACCAATGTCACTACACTCAAAAGAGAAAGTTTTCGTACAGCGCGAGTTGGAAAAATGTACTGACATTTTCTTGCGCGACCATGCAGTGCGACCACCATTGAAAACAGCACACGATGGACCATATAAGGTTATAAGTCGGAGCTCTTGAAGATGTGATATTTCTGCGGACTACAACACGGTTAAGATATTTTACTTGTAACAAGACATAATATTGTATTGTGAAATTGAAATCGTGAATAAATAAATTAGTCGACAACCCGACATTAGTTTATAGGATTTGAATCGTTTAAGAATAAAAAGTTTTTTTCATCTCAAAATTTATATGTATATTAAATATTGGACTTTAAATATGGCGTCTGTTTACGACGTTTTCAAACAGCAGGCATAAAAAAAACTAATCTCTAAACGCCGATAATTGATACTAAGGTTATTAAATCTATATTAATATCTCAAGAACATGTAGTATAACTTGTACATAAACATTTATAAAAAAGAATTTTTAACCACAAAATATATTTTAATATTTTTACCAAAACTCCGATGATATTGTAAATTTCTGGATTTCGGTGGGAGATGCCATATACAATCCATGACCTTTGTGACTCAAACAAAAAACTTTGGATATTCTGAAAAAATTAGTTTTATATTAATAGAAAATGTTTAGAATACTTTTAATCTCACTCAGTTGCATCATCTTCAACGAAAACCTGTTGACCCCAAATTGCAAGCATTGGATCGACAATTCCTTGTTTCTTTTTTGTATGAAAACTATAAAAGACAAATTTGTTTGAATACGAATTAGATATAAGGAAATTTTTTTATTCATATATAAGATAAATTAAAATGTTGAATATTTATTTACATTTTCTGACTGAACTGTTGCATTGAATGGTTTAAACCAATAATAAGCTTTGTATGATAAACCTGAGGCCTGATCCACTATCACTCAATTGAATTAAGAGTAATGAAGTTTATGGTATCATATGCTAAGTTTCGCATAGCGTTTTTTAAAGTGTGAAACGCATTTGATTTGTATTGTTACTATATTTGTTGTAATTTATGCCCAATGGCTTAATAAGCAGTTAAATTAAACCAACGACATCAGCACGGATTGTATAAACTAAAAAATTTAAACCATGTAACGAAACTCCCTCTGTTCAAATAAATGTACCAAATAAGCCTAAAAACGCTAAAAAAAAGGAATTTCCTCTTGCCTTTATAAATATATATTTGTGTATGGATTTAAAATTCGTTATAAGAGCTTTAAAAGTAAATAAATTTTTAAGGAGAATAGTTCATTAAAATCCAATCAAAGACAACCAGAACGTTCCATCCACGTTTCAAACATTCATGAACTCGGATTTAACAGAATTAGTAAATATTAGCTGTTTTGTTTATTGAGGCGACATTATTATTTTCAATTCAATTCAACATTTATTTACTTCTGCTCATAAATTTTAAGTTGTAACAGAAGGAGGTTTGGTGTTTATTTACAGCTAGGTTTAAAAGATAAGCGGTAAAAAAGTTTATGAATACAGTAAGACCCTGCTTAACGCTGTTTCGGTTTAGCGCTCTTTTATATCAACCCGAACATTTAAACCGATGCACATAGGGGTATTTGCTCAATTTAGGCGGCCAAAAATCGAATTTTTGAAATTAATTTTTCATAAAAATTTTTAATTGGGGACTTTACAAAATAGAATTTGCTACAAAATTATGTTTTTTTTATTTTTCTCTGTGCTGCCATTCGCATGAACAGCTGATTTGAAGTGGAGCATTTTGAAAGTAAAATTTTTGTTTGAGTTGCAACTTACGCTAGTAGCTAATAAAAAGTGATATTATTAATAGCGACAACATTCTTTAAAGATTTAAATTATGACATCGTTTAAAGCAGGTAATTAGAGATCTACTCATAAAATTTAAAGTAGATATTCTGTGTTTTAGTGCTGTTGAGGCTTTAATCTAAAAGTTGCAATTTGAATGAATTTTTTTGATTTAAGCGAATGCATTATAGTTAAAAAGTTATAGAATTCCGCAATATTCCACTATGATATTAACTGCATTATAAAGGTGGAAGTTTCTTCATTTAAGAAAAAAAAAGTTTGGCTGCGGATTTTTGCGGATGGCTTTGTAAGCAGCAAAAAAGTGAAGTAGAGTCATGCATATTTGAAGCAATATTTTGCATTGCTTCGTATACAAAACGAGTAAACATAATATTTAGATAATGTAGGAGAAAAAATATTGTTATGCCTGAAATGTAAAGATCTGACACATTGAAATATTGAAGATAAAGTTAATATTTACTAATTTTTGTGAGTATTTGAAATCCTAATCAAGCGCACCAGCAGCATTTAGTGTACTCATGAGCAGCGTTTGTGATCTCTGTATACTATGTGTTTCTAATTTGACAATGAGTTCGGTTTGGATACGAATATTCTTCTAAGTTCGTTGGTACCACTGCAACTAATATTATTAAACACTCAGAAAGTGATATGGGAGAACTCAACTCCTTCTTTACCACGCTATTGCCGTCCTATCCGGTTTCGATTTGTAAAACAAACAGTCGACGTAACGAACGAAGAAGTGAATTACATTCAAAATGCAATAAGCTTCTTAGTAGAAACAAATATAACCTAAATGGGAAAAAATATACGTACAAAACATAAATTGCTGCTTACCATGGTAGATGCTAAAGTAGGTATGCAATGCTATCACACACACTAGTTCTACTATGAAATGCTATATAACATATGTAACAAAACTTCAAAGGATTTTTATGATTTGACTACAGTGTACTAATAAACGAAAACTCTCTAACGTTTAGTTTATCAATTCTGCATGCGAGAATAAGAATATTTGAGAGGCTGTTACAGTTGTCCTATAAATTGCCTATTCAGATATGGCTATCACGTTAAGATACTGACAATATTTCAACTTTGCAAAGAAAAATTGAAATTCAAAAGGCATTCAAAAACAAAATGGGTCTGGTTGTAGATGTGCCTAAACTTGGATTCGGAAGAAGTAATGATGGAAACACAAGGTCACGATTGTTTTCAGAGCCTGAGTTATCAGAAGAAATCACGAGTATAGATCCAAACCTAATTTTTCGTTTAAAAGTGATTTTGGAAGTCATATCAAGTGGACATCACATAGATACTGAAAAATTTAATCATAATGCTTTCGATACAGCGAAGCTGTACGTAATGTTGTATCCATGGTATCCTATGACGCCTTCTATGCATAAGATTCTTATTCATGGAGAAATTGTCATTAAATGCACTGCTGCCAATAGGACAACTGTCAGAAGAAGCGGCAGAACCACGTAATAAGCATTTCAGACTGTATCGTGAGAACTACTCACGAAAATTTTCTCGGGAATCCTGCAATACAGATATATTAAATAGACTGTTATTAACTTCAGATTCTCTCCTGACTGAATTGAGAGCAAAGCCAAAAAAACCATCACAGGCTTTCACAAAGGATGCGTTAGAAATGCTTCTTCCTACTAATGAACTGGAAGACACCATAATGTGCTTAAGTGAGAAGGATGAACTTAGCTCAGATAGCGAAATATTAAATTTTTAAATATTTAAAATTTTTTTAAATTACACTTATTGTTCTTAGGTAAGAGCAGAAAAATGCATGTTTCAATCATAATTTTACTGTTGTTAGGTATACGAATATGTTTAACCAAAACGTCGCATTAAAGAACTGAAATACTTTTTATTATTATAATAATATTTATAATTATATTTATAATAATATAATAAATAATATTTATTTGTTTTAATATCTTACTCGAATTCTGAATTGAGAGAAGCCGCTTGCCATACATATGCAACATTTTATCAAGCACAGTGTATTTTTTTTAGACATTATTAATTATTTTGTTTATTTTTTTGTTTTAGCAACTTTAAAAGTCATGAAGTAGCTTTACGTAACATTTTGAGTTAAAAATCACACAAAAATAATTTTGGCCGCCTAAATTGGTCAAATACCCCAGTGTGCGATGTTTGAAAAAACAGACGGAGAATAGAAGCAATCATTAAGAGAATTTTGGAAAAACTACAATATCATGAATGCTGTAGAAAACATAAACCTTTCTTGGAATCAGATAACTGAAAGATCTGTTAAAGGAGTATGGAAAAACATTTGGCCAGATTTAAGTAAGAGCGAAACATCAGCTAGTGTTTCTAATGGTGAGCTTCTAATGATGAGCTTAAGCGGGGTCTTACTGTTGTAGGAAAATATATATGTATTTGTGTTATCGTTCTACTTAATCTTATAATAATTTTTTAGGATAAAATAAAAAGCAATTCATCTATTTGTTAACTAGGTTTCTTGTCTCTAGCCGCACAAGACGTTATGCTTCTGCTTGCAAACTCCAACTGCTGTTACTGGTGATGCCATATTATTGTTTTTATTATCATATTTCATAAAATGGCAATATGTATCTATGGAAACAATTTTAGTGAAAAGCAAATGTTATTCGTTTATAATAAATGATCTGATTTTAAGACTGTTTAGTATATATGAGTATATTGCCTTAATTGATTGTGGATCAGTGCAGTTGAAAATTAAAGATTTGTTGTCTATGAAGACTGCAAGTAAGAAACGAAAATGGTAAGTTAGTACTGAGGAGTAGATAGGGTACTCAAACATAAAGTGATTCAATGTTTCTTTTTTTTTATAAATTACATAGTGTAAATAGGTTGTTGATTTTGAGTTTGTGGATTTGCCCCTTAATACAAAATCGAGAGGTGTGACTTATTGACAACCGCAATCGGGCGATAACCTTTGCCATAAAAAATTGCTTTCGGTCAAAGAGGTAAGACAGGTTTGTCATCAATACCTCTCAGTATATTGCAATTCATGGAATGTCAGTTGGTAACTTTTAAAATGTCTTGAAATTTTAGATGTCTTTCATAGCGTTCAAGGGCCGTAGTTCGGTTTTCAATCCAAATTGCTGCAATCGGTGTTTCCACAAGTTTGTTATATTTAACACTTGAAGAAAGTCGTTAAATTGTGTAACTCAATTAAATTCACTTGCAGTAGGGTTATTAACGTGCAGGTAAAGGAGACGAAGGCGGCATATAGGTATCTTGATTGGTCTATTTGGAGAATTCGTATGATGCAATCAATTCCGCGTTTGAAAACTCTGTATGACATTTTTACAAGGCCTAATTCAAGAATAAGTGCTGCATTATATGTAGCTTGGGGGAGTGCTAACAAGCGTTTGTAGTACGTTGACTGAACGATTTTTAGTGAATCACAGTATCGCATGCCACACACTTTTGTTGCATATAAAAGTATTCTGGATACAGTGCAGTCGAATAGTTTTGCCCGACCTTCCCAAGAGTCAGATTTAAATTTACTATTCGTTTGTAATGCCGTTCCGTACGCCATTTTCCCATTTCTTATGAGAGTTTCTGCTGCACATTTGCCTAATGTGGAGCTTAAGAAATTTACTCCCAAGTATGTGTAGGAATTCACAACAGGAATTTTTTAACGATTGTAAAAGAATTTTTCCTTCTCTTCTAAAGTGGAAAATTTGTGTTTTGTCTGTGTTTACAACGAGCTTGTTTTTTTTGCAGTAACTTTTAAGTGCCAATAAACGTTTTCGTAAAATAAAGGGGGACCTAGCTAGGACAACGACATCGTCTGCAAAAAAAAAGCATCAAGGTATCATGTAAACCGTCAATATTGAGCCCTTCAATATGAAAAGGAGAGGTTTGATAAAATGTTTCCGATTATGTGATTTAATAAGATTCCAAAAGTCTTTCGATATTTTTACGTTAAAGAACTTATTTTTGACCTGATTTTCATATTCCGTTCTTTTTGCGGACAGAATTTTTTAATAATTAACTTTTGGATCAATGTATACCGTTTTAGTTTCAGCTAAAAAGCTCTCTCGCTTGCACGTTTTTAAGGCATTTACATTTTTCTTTGCAGCTGGTAGTTCTAAATCAAACCATGGCTTAGAAGTATAGTAAGGAGCGTTAGCGGATTAAGTAATATCCATTTCTGACGCTTAAACGGATTTTTGAATAGAGGTTACAATTAGATCCATGGTCGATGGATAGTTGAGTGTTATTATTTTGTAATTATTAATTAATTACAATCCTTAATAAAATCGTGGTTCATAAATATAATTTAGTAATATGATATGAGAAACATTTTACTGATGTTTCAATTTCGGTTTAGATATTCCGTTTTAGGTAATTGTTTTAATTTGATGATTGGTGTAGTCTCATCGGTACTTATTCGTCTTTTTTCGATGCGAATAACATAAAGCTGTGTTGTCTGAATAAGTAGCTATCATAGTTCTTGGAAATGTTGTTTCTTCAATATGCACTGGGTACACAAGACATGAAAAAGAGCCAACAACACTGGCTTGATGTACTCCTGCTATAATTACTAAGATATTTCAGTATTCTGCATCATATTTAACTGAGAAGTAGGATAGGATATTTAATTTAAATAGCAGTTCTTTGTGTTACACCGTGCATAATGACATTGCGATCTTTAGGTAACAAGTGATTATGTAATTTTTTTTGTCCATTTCAGCAATTTTTTGCACTTATTGCATAGTTGTGATTTCACCTTACTCAGAACTGATGGCTAGGTATTATATGTCATTGCGGCAATATAAGTTTTCGTGTTTCAAAGACGATTAACTTAAATATCTAATTAATATTTTGGAAGATTTTTTGGATATATGCTTGGTTATGTTATTTTTGTTGTACCAAATTGATTTTTGAAACGTTAAGGCTTAGATTTGTATTTGAAAGTAATTGTGGAACAGTTTGTAGATGACGGTTATTATCATATTTTAAGGAAAATTGATAAAAAAGCAAACAAATTTCGTATTTTCAAATGTTATAGTACACCGCACGATACGTGTATTTTTATGATTTAATTTAACAATTTGTAATACTTATATCTAATATAATACAATATATAAAAGCTGTATTAAGTAAAGAGAGTTATTTAAGAAAGAGTTGTAAACGTTAACTCAAATATTAAACTTAATGATTTTTAATAAGGAAAATTACTTTCTAAAAAAAAAAAATTAGAGCGATAGAAAACCAATAAATAACATAAAAAGAAATCAAGAAATGCAAATAGTCGGAGAATAAATTTCATTAAGTCCAACAAAACCAAAGCAAATTACACCATAGCAAACGATATAACCCATCGGCATTTTTTAATCTATAAAAATAATGTGTGTATTCGTCATTAAACCAATCAATCTTCCAAAAAAACCATAATAATCGAGCCGACAAAAAAAAAATTCAAAACTAGCATATACCGATACTCATTCTAAAAGTAAGTCAAATCCCAAAAAACCTGCATAATTTCCCTAAAATACACAGAGATATATTAAAAGAAGTACTCAAACATAGGAAAAAAGGGCCAGGGAAGAAATTCATGCGAACCACCAGGATATTGATTGATGAATTTATTATGAAAATGAATCTTGTTATAAAATACAAATTTTTTCACTTTTCAAAATAATCGGGGTTTTGGTTATATATTTCATATTAAGAAAATACAATACATTTTTAATACAGGTTGGTTTAAAAGTCTTGAAAGCGTCATCTATTAACCCGAAGAAGAACCAAAATTTATATTCCACTTTCATAATTCATCCAATATATTTAAAATTGTAGGTCTATATTTTAAAAGAGATTTCGGTATGGCGAATAATGAATAAAAGTTTTGTTGATGTTGAAAAACTTTTGAAAGGGTTCTCGGTATGAAAAGGTTTATTGTAAATTTTTTAACATAAAAAAAAAATATTTAAGCGTAAGCAGAAGGTAAACAATATCTAATGCTAAAACATAAGAGAAAAAATTGAGACGTGTGATAACAGGAAGAGATGAGTTAATACTCATTTCGATAATAGTTAAAAACTATAGTTTTATATATATATATAAACTATAGTTTTTAACTATTAACGAGCTTGTCAGTTATGTTAAATTTTAATTATTTTTTGTGTTAAATCGTAAGTACAGTGATTAATATTTTAAGTTGATAAAATAAATTTATATCTATTTATTATATCTTTATAAATTCTTTCCTTATATTTGTGTTTTATGTCATAGAGTATTATGTATACATTTTATCATATTTTTTACAGCTATTACCTTAGTTCTGTTAAAGATAAAAAATCTATATCCAGCAAAAGCTTCAAACTAGGAAGACTATGAACCATTAAATGACCATTAGAAAGATATGTTGCTAAGCAAGTTCCATCTAAATATTTTGCAAAAAAGGGAATATATAAACTCGATATAGATAAAATACTAATTATTAAAATTATCTACCCTTCATTGCAATAGTTTCTGCTTTAACAGCTATACCCATTTCTTGTAATTGAATTCGATAAATGCAGCATTGGTTCATAACATCAAAAACTTTTGTTTGTTTAACACTTGTTATTACGAGATATTGCCTATCTGTAAAAGTATCTAACGCTGTACTAATGCTTCCACTTATTCCAGTTGTACTCCCACTACTGATGCTGTTTGTGTTGCCACTAACTGAAGCGTTAAAAATTGTACTGGCAGTTGTTGGTGTTAATATCGGACTAGTTTTCGCACTTCCTTTTGTTGGTGCACCTGAAATAAAAATAAAAATAATATAATCACTACATTTAATCATGATTATATATTATAACATATTTTTTTATTTTTCTAATTGCAAAATCAAACGAATTTGGCTTCATGTTGGTTAAAAAACAAAAAAGTGTACAAAAATATTGTATACTTGTCATAGCAGAAATCAGGGCATGTATCCGAACCGAAAACCGAAAAAACTGATATTTTCGCTGGAACGAAAACCGGAACCGAACCGCAAAAAGAAATATTTGCACGAAACATATGTTAACTAAATTCAGAACTAAAATGCAACACACTATTGAGCTATAATTTATTAACAGGAATATATTATATACTTTAAGTAGGCGATAATTGAAAATTTTTTTCAATTTTATAAATAAAACGTGTCCGTTTTAGTGCTAAAATTTCATGCAATAATAAAAATTTAAAATAATAATAATATATAAATAATGAAAATGAAAATTTATATTTATTATTATCCAATGAGTTAACTGCACTAAGAAGTGAAAATGAAAAATTGAAATCTTTTAAAAACCTACCAGAAATCATAAAAACAACTCATAACATTGCAAAATATGAAACCGAAGAGGAGGAACTTGCCAGGGAGACGGACTGAATCTTAAAAAAGAAAAGACCAACTAAAAAACGTAAGGCCGAATCCTTTCCTGAAGTAGCTAGTCAAAGTAGATCTAGTGTTGAAACAAATACTTGCCCAAAAAGACAAGCTGCCCCTAATAAAATTGCTCGACCTCCTCCTATTGTTATCAACGGCTTAAATGATTTAAAAAATGGCATGCTCAATTTATCGCAACTATAAAAAACAAGTTTTTTGTGAGACTTATAAATAATGGTTCACATAGAGTATCAATTTTTGACTGTTTTGACTATACATCTGTCATAAAACTCCTAACTCACGAAAATATTTCCTGGTTCAGCTACGAAGACAAGCAAATTAGGCCAATAAAAGTTATAGTAAAAAATCTTCCCCACTCGTGTGATCAAGAATCGATTATAAATGACTTAAACAACCAAGGTTTAAAATTAATCGGTGCGATAAACAAACTCAAATGGAAGACTGAACAACCGCTTGATATGTTCCTTTTGTTTGACTCAACCGAAGATGTGAAGAAAATATATGAGATAAAAAGAATTCTTAACACAATTGTAAAGATTGAACCCATCAAACCGTCAAACTAAATTCCTCAATGCAAAAAATATCAATCGTTCGGTCACAAAAAAGATTTCTGTGGAAAACCTCCACGATGTGTTAAATGCGCCGGCAAACATTTAACTTCTGGCTGCCAAAAGACAGAGTCCGATAAGCATAAATGCTGCAACTGTAACGAACTGCATTCAGCGAACTATCGTGGTTGTATAGTCACTTAAGAATTACAAAAAATAATATTGAAAAACAAACGTGACAAAATTAAGGCTAACGAAAATAATTAAGTTGCTAATTCAGAATTCGTACAATCACTACGAGCCGTTATGGAGCAACTAAGACCAGTACCAACGGCAAACCACTCCATATCAAAAATATATGTATCAGCGGATCTCAAAAAAAAGTACTCATGTTTATCTACGCTATGACACTGTTCAACCACCTCTCAAAGCACCTTATGATGGACCATTTAAGGTAACCCATCGCGACGATAA